ATTTTATTGATTTGGGTCTTTTCTCTTCTTTTTTTAGTTAGTTGGGCCAATGGGGTGTCAATTTTGTTTATTTTTTCAAAAAGCCAGCTCCTCGTTTGGCCGATTTTTTGGAATGTTTTTCTTGATTCAATCCTGTTGATTTCTTCTCTGATTTTAATTATTTCTCTTCTCCTACTAGATTTGGGTCTGCTTTGCTGTAGGTTTTCTAGATCCTTGAGGTGAATTGAAAACTCATCTATTTGGTGACTTTCCAATTTCTTGATGTAGGCACCTATTGATATAAACTTTCCTCTTAACACTGCTTTTGCTGTATCCCATAAGTTTTGGTATGTTGTGCTGTTATCCTCATTTACTTCCAGAAAAATTTTGATTTCTCTTTTAATTTCTTCTATGACCCATTGTTCATTCAGGAGCATGTTGTTCAATCTCCATGTGTTTGCGTATGCTCTAGGGATTCCTGAGTTGCTAATTTCCAACTTCATTCCTTTATGGTCTGAGAAGCTGCATGGTATGATTCTAATTCTTTTAAATTTGCTGAGACTTGCTTTATGGCCTAGTATGTGGTCAATCCTAGAGAAGGTTCCATGTACTGCTGAGAAGAATGTAAAATCTTTAGCTGTAGGATTGAAAGTTCTGTATATATCTGTTAGATCCATTTGGGCTATAGTGTCGTTTAAATCTACTGTATCCTTGTTGATCTTCTGTCTTATTGATCTGTCTATTTCTGAGAGTGGAGTATTGAAGTCCCCCAGTACTATTGTATTGGGGTCTAAGTCTCCCTTTAAGTCCGTTAACAAATCTTTTAGATAAACCGGTGCCCTGTAGTTAGGTGCATATACATTGATAATTGTTATATCTTCCTGTTGAATTGATCCCTTAATCATTATATAGTGCCCCTCTTTGTCTCTCTTAACGGTTTTTGTGGTAAAATTTATGGTGCCTGATATTAAGATGGCTAGGCCCGCTCTTTTTTCATTTCTGTTGGCATGGTATATCTTTTTCCAGCCTTTCACTTTCAGTCTGTATGGATCTTTGTTGGAAAGATGTGTTTCTTGTAAGCAGCAAACAGATGGGTTTTGTTCCTTAACCCAATCAGCCAATCGGTGTCTTTTAACTGGACAGTTCAGGCCATTAACGTTCAATGTGACTAATGATAAGTGGTAACTTTGCCCTGCCATTTGCCAAAGATAAGTTCTAATATATGCTTTGAATTCCCTGTGATCTTTTGCTGTGAGGTTTCCTTCCTTGGTTTTCTTCCTTTACCTTCTTTCATATTGATGACCGTGTTTCTTTGTTTCTGTGTGTAACACATCTTTAAGCAGCTTTTGCAGGGCTGGACGAGTGGCAACAAATTCTTTCAATTTCTGTTTGCTATGAAAAGTCTTTATTTCACCTTCATTCACAAATGATCGCTTTGCAGGATATAATATTCTGGGCTGGCAGTTTTTCTCTCTTAGTACCTGGGCTATATCTTGCCATTCCCTCCTAGCTTGTAGAGTTTCTGATGAGAAGTCAGCTGTGAGTCTGATTGGAGATCCTCTGAGAGTAATCTGACGTTTCCCTCTTGCACATTTTAGGATCTTTTCTTTATGTTTCACTGTGGAGAGTTTAATTACAATGTGTCGTGGTGAGGATCTCTTTTGGTCGTGTTTATTAGGGGTTCTGTGAGCTTCCTGTACTAGGATTTCTCTGTCCTTCTCCAAACCTGGGAAATTTTCTGCTAATATCTCACTGAAAAGTCCTTCTAATCCTTTCTCCCTCTCCATGCCTTCAGGAACTCCTAGAACCCGAATGTTGGGTTTTTTAATAGTATCCTGAAGATACCCGACAATATGTTTTAGATTTCTAATTTCCTCTTCTTTTCTTTGGTCTGACTGTATCCTTTCCTGTTCTCTGTCTTCTAAGTCCGATATTCTCTCTTCTGCTTCACCCATTCTGTTTGTAAGGCTCTCTATTGTGTTTTTCATTTGATCTATTGAGTTCTTCACTTCAGTCACTATCACAGTTTCCTGTTGTACTAGTTGTTTCGTTTCATTTTGATTCCTCCTTAATATTTCATTTTCATGAGAGAGATTTTCTATCTTGTCCATTAAGGATTTCTGTAGTTCAAGAATTTGTTTTTGAGAACTTCTTAATGTTCTTATCAATTTTTTTAGATCTGCTTCTTGCATTACTTCTATCTCATCATCTTCATAATCTTGAATTGGGGTGTCTTTTTCATTTGAGGGCGTCATGGTGACTTCCTTGTTTTTATTACCTTGGTTTTTGCGTTTGTTATTTGGCATATTGGAGATATTTGGTTTCTTCACTGTGGTGCTTTTTCTTGTTATACTATGACTCTAGATTAAGTGGACTATCTGTTTTTGATGGAGCCTTAGGGCTTGAGATGGGTGTAGCCTGAGAGCTCTGTTTGATTTATAGAAAAGTGTCAGAGATAATACAGAGAGGTTAAATACTCTGCTCAGCTTGCTTACCCTCATGTAATCATCCGACATTACCATACAGTGATACATCATACATTTGTCAAATCCAGGAGTCCCCTGTTGGTCTGTGACCATTAATTACGTGTCAGACTTGATCAGGTCTCATTCATTTCTCCATGGATGTCTTTTGGCTCCAGGACCCAATCATAGTTCCCATGATGCATTTATGCACCATGTCCCTTTCACTTCCTAGCTGTGTTCACTTACTTTCATGCAACCTAGCAAGTAATAATACACTGAATATCTTTTTAAATCTCTGGAAAATTAAACATTTCAGAAAGCTCTTTTTTTTTTTTTTTTTGCATGGTCACTTTTGCCAAAATGGCATTCAAATGATTGCTAGAAAAACATAAGAGTTATTTTGACATTTCCTGTATAGCAATCAAACTCAACTTACTATAATTCCATAACTGTATACTTGAGATGGGAAGTCTGGGAAAACAGCATGAGCAGTTGTCGGTATGAGGAAGCATCTGACTTTTCACTATGGCTCTGCTTCTGCTGACACTTTTATGATACTGTAGAAGCAAAGTAAAAAGTGATGAGAAGAAGGAAACAAAAGTCCAAAATTTCAGACACCAATGACAAAACTGTAAAAATGATCCCAATTAGACTGATTATACTGATATATTAGTTACTGAGCAAAAATTGCAGGTAAAATACTCTAAGTGTCAGAAATGAAGCAGACCATGTCCTCTCATTTTTCACTCCTTGTTCACACAGATTCTTATTTATTTCCTAAATAACCAATTTGTCCCTATTTTTTCATTGTAATATAACAGACTATTGAGCTAATCATTTCTCACACGCATTTAATTTTTTACCAACTTTAAATTAAAAATACATGGAAATAGAGGTTTATAAGAAGTAATTTAAAAATTAAAAACATTTTCTCCTGGATCTTTGTTTTTGATAAATTATTTCAAAACTGTATGCATTCCAGGTTCATGTATTTAAACTATTCTGCTGCAATGTTTCCATGAGCAGTTCTCCTGTTCTTATTTTATGAACTAAGACATTCATTTCATCTTGGGTTATATCTTGGTTTCTACTATGTTATCAATGCTTCATGATTCAATATAATGTTTTTTTTTTCTTGTTTGGAATTGTGATACCAGCTAGATTAACCTGGTATTAAATAATGACCCAAAATGGTACTTCAGTGGACCTTAAAGAGTATATAAATTTAATGTAGAAAAGAAGTAAAGAAAATATTCTGAGAGGTGCTAAAAATAGATTGGTATTTTTGGGTGTAAAGGTGTGTGGGTGTTTTAATGACAGGTGAGAGGTTTGGTGATAATATAATTAGCCAATGAATAATAGTTGTTAGATTAGAGATATACGTTAGCTGTACAGAATAATAATTATCTCTGAGCCTGGAAGATCATAGTTCCTGGCCATGCCTAAAAACTAATGTTTGCCTTTTAAGAGAAAGCTTGGTTGCCTGGAGTATTAAAAAAAATCACCATCCTTAATACATTTATTTATGTCAGAGACCTACCTCCTGAAGAGAGATTCTAAAGAAAAATAGAGGAAGCCAAAAAGCAAATCTCAAAAAAGAATTGATAGAGAATCTAGCTTTGTTGCTGTTATTTTAAAGGGGCTCATGAGGGAAGGAATTTCAAGACACAGGAAAATACCTTCAACATAAATAAAGGAGGAAGCTGATACAGACATGGATTTCAGCTGATGTTACTCACTTTCTTGAGAATTAAAAGTGTGAGAACATTGAGAGCTTATTAGGTGTGAAGATCCATGTGTTGGATCTGAAGAAAACAATTGCCTTTTTTACAAAGTCGCACCTACTTCTAGGGTTAAATAGGGCATAGGGCTGCTCAGTGGATTAAACAAATAGCTTTTGAATTTTGACAGCTATGGCTGTAATTAGTGGACCAGAAGATTTTGACTTTGATGCTTTAAAAAGAGCTATATTTAAGCCCACTCAACATTTAAGTCTTTCAGTTGCTAGAGCTGTCTCTTCCTTATTTAAGGAGAATCTGTTTCTTCAGATAAGTTGAAGAGAATACAAGTGGAAAAAGTGTTGTTTTCAAATCAGTCAACCCAGGATTGTATACATTTACATTTACTGTAAATCAAGCAGTCTGGATATTCTTAGTTTGACTTTTTTTTTTTTAACAAACATGCCAATGTTTGTGCATATATGACATTTCTCTATGTTTACCAGTTATATAACAGTTGCAGATTTTCCATATTCTATAAAAGGGAAATTGGAGAACTCAGGCTAAGCAGGATATGGGTGTTTCTCTTTTCATATTTATTGGTTTAGAAATGTTATTGTTAACTGTTCCCTAATCTCATGTCTGTTTGTTTTTTTTTTTTTTTTTTCCAAGCTCTATAGTAATTGCTGTAGTTAGATTTTAAATGTTCATACAACTTCATTTTTATTCCTGATGGCCTTTCTGACACATGGGTGGGAACAAGTGAGACACTGACACCACTGGAAACTTTCTGTGTGGGAATATCAGTGTCATGTGATCGTCTGCACCTTCACACAAGGTCTCTGTGAGGGACGGTCTCACACATCAGGACCTGCCTGGTCTCACAGCAGAGGTGAAGCCAGCAGAGCCGGGACGTGCTCGCCTGCTCCTGACCAAGCCTGTGCTCCAGCTGGGGACATCCCAAGGTACAGACACAGACAGCAGCTACTGTGGGTGTGTGCGTCCATCTCCATGTCGCCTCTCACCCTGTTGATGGCAGAGGAATAGAGCAGCACTTGGTCCGGGAGAGATGTGTGGAAAGGTGGGGTTAAATTATGATCCATGTTAACATCTAAAGTTACCTTTATTCTAGAGGAGAGGGCAGGAGTGGATCAGAATGAGAATTTGTCAAAAGAATTCAATAGGCATGAAATTTTTAAAATTGTCACGTTTTGTGGTATATTTATTTCCTTTTATAAGACATTATATATACTTTTATTTCTCATCACAATGGATGCTATTTATCTGGCTAGCAATGAATAACCCAAACTTTGAATTACCTTAGCATGATGTAACCTGTGTTAAATTTTGAAACCTTTGTTAATATGTTTGTTTTCTATCAATGGAAATCTAGTCTAATATGTACCAATTCATTTTGTTGATATTTATGTATATAGATATAAGATAAAAATAACTGCACAAAAATCAGTTATTTCAGAAAATATATGACCTCAAGCAAAGATTTATTTTAATCTTTTATTTATTTATTTGAGAGGTGGAGTTACAAACAATGAGAGGGAGAGACAGAGTGAGATCTTCCTTCCATTGGTTCACTCCCCAGTTCTCCACAATGGCTGGAGCTACAGGATCCGAAGCCAGGAGCCAGGAGTTACTTCCCAGTCTCCCATGCAGGAGCAGGGGCCCAAGGACTTGGGCCAACTTCTACTGCTTTCCCAGGCCACAGCAGTGAGCTGGATTGGAAGAAGTGCAGCCGGGACTAGAACAGGTGCCAATATGGGATGTTGGTGCTGCAGACGTAGGATTAACACACTGCCCCACAGCACAGTCCCCTGGAGTTAAGATTTATATTGTAATTGGGAATATGTGTTTCTCATCTATAATTTGAAAACAGTAGCAATGTGTAGACTTGCTGTTAGAATTATAAGTGATGCTTATCTCAGTTAATTATACTTTCATACACCCCGACCTAGAAATCCCATCATTTCTTCATTTTTCTCAACTCTGAGGTCATGTCCATGAAGGCCAGTGACTATCAGGATGATGAGATAAATGAGTGCTGGGGTGTGAGAGAATATGATTCAGCAGCATGGGGTGTTCATTGAATTAGTGTGTGTGTGTGTCCCTCATGTAAGAGGTGCCTCTGTCATGTTGTGGTGATCATTTGGACCTAATACATGTACTGAGTATCAAGTTAATTTTTCAAGAGAGGGTATAAATCTGGATATTTATGTACAAATTATATCCATTTGCAAATTTTGGCAACTAATTAAGTTAACTTTAAAACAGTTTAAAAGTTTAATACAGTATGTCCATATCTGAATAGGATCTCTCTTCTAAAACATCACAAAAAGGAATTTAAATCACTTTTTCCTGGGCCAGCATTGTGATGGGGTGGGTTGAGTCAGCACCTGCCATGCCAGTTCCCATATCAAAGTGCTCCTTTGTGCCCTTGCTGCTCTGCTTCAGATCCAGCTCCCTGCTAATGTGCCTGAGATGACAGCACAAGATGACCCAAGAGTCTGGACCTCGGCTACCCATGTGGGAAACCTGATGGAGCTCCTTGTTCCTGGTTTCAGCCTGGCCCAGCCCCTAGAACGCCAGCCATCTGGGGAGTGAACCAGTGGAGAGAAATTCTAACTTTCCCTCCATCTCTCTCACTCTGGAACTCTCTGCTTTGCAGATAAATAGATTAAATTTTTAAAAAATCTTTTCTGTATTTTCCAGGGTTAGGGTGATCTTAATTCACTTTCTACAGGCCAGAGCGTATATCATTCCTGCTACTCTCCCCGTTATTCATGAAACATTTCCCCGAATTTAGCTGAATCTGTTATGTCTCGTGAAACATCTCTGGTCCTTGCTGTGTTTTTAGCCTGAAACTCTCAGAAATGAGTGAGGAGAAAGTGACATACTCAGAACTGAAATTGTCTCACGCAAAGAAAAAGGAAGGCAAAAGACATCTAGCTCACAAAAAAAGAGGTAACTTTTCTTGTTTTCTGATTTCTGAGAACATAATGTCAGGTAGAAAAAAATTAGCATAAATGTTTATCCTGCTTAGGTTCTTATCTGTTTACCAAGCTCATTATATATCCACTTTTTAAATTTTTTACAGAAAACCCATGCACAGTAATCCTGGGAATCATCTGTGTTGTGCTCCTGCTGGCAAGCATAGGGTTAGGATATATGTGTGAGTATGTGCAGCTATGTGGATGTGAGTGGGCAATAAGAAAAAGAGAAGGAAATCGATTAGCCCAAGAAATGGTGGATTTTAAAAATAAGAAGTCTTTTTTTTTTTTCTTTTTAGTTGTGGTCTGGAATATGGACACTGTAATAGATTGCTGAACTGGAGGAAGAGTTACAGTTATTGTGAAGGGGACATGAAGGGACTATGTATTTGATGTTGCTAGATTTTTACAACCAGATAAAATTTAATGTTGGTACATAGGAGCATCATGGAAATGAAAAGATTCTGTTGTGTGACAAACACTTGAGTGATTTTTTTCAAATTATTTATTCGAGGGAGGGATGGAGGAAGAAAGAGAGAGAGAGATCCCACCTTCTCATTATCTAAGTTTTAAAGTCCGCAACAGCGGGGACTGGGCTGGGTCACAGATGTGGGACAGAAATGCAATCCGCTCATGTGGGTGTCAGCGACCCATTCACTTTGAGCCATCACTACTGCCTCCCAGCATCTCCATTAACAGAAAGTGGGAATCAGAAACTGGACCGAGCAAGCAAACTTGTGTGCCTGATATGGACAACAGGCATTTTTTAAAAATAGAACAATAGCTTTTTATTTTACATTTTTATTCTCAACTTAAACTGCTGTTTCTCTCATAGACTTTTAACTTTCCTTTTGCACATTAGAAATAGCTATATGAACTCATTTGCCGTGCATATTTTATGCATTCATTATACATACAGGCAAATCCCTTATGTCAATATGTAAATTCTAAATTGAGTCACATGCTGAGAAACCATTATTTAAAGATGGCATAAAATCTAGTTCATTTTTAATTTCCTTTGTTTCCAGTTTATGAAATGAACACTACTTTTTTTATGTGTCTTGGAATTAATAGATTTCAAGTTACATATAATTGTAGTTTTATATAAAATATATTTTATGGCCTGCAACAAAAATATTTTATCTATGATTATAATCCCAAGTAATCATCACCATGTTCTTTTATACCTAGAATTATAGGATATGATCATAATTAAGTGATCTTTTAAGTCATTTATGTTGTTAATTTTGTAATGTGGATTGAAGATTTTCAGAAGTGTCCCAAATGCACAACACAGGATATGGAAAACACAAAAGAAAAGAATACTTCCTCAATACAGCTGGAAGACCATTCAGTGGTGCCGTCCGGTAGAGGTTTGTACTCAATCTTTAGGTTAATAGTTGACAGGTTATTTTCATAGACTTACTGCTTTCTGTCCATTTCAACATATAAACTTTAAAAAGTTGATATTGGATCTTATGAGGAGTTTTAGGTTTTAACTTTACTCTCCTCATTAAATCTATTTTTAAAATCATAGTTAACTAAGCATTCGAGTTTGAAAAGATGTTTGGGTACAGAAAAACTCTTCTTTTATGCTAATTCCTTCTGAAGAAAAAATTAAATACCTAAAATCTTGTTTTCTAAATGGCCTGGTGTCTTGGGATGGGGGTGGCTTTTGTTTTGAAGAACCAGCCTGTGGCTTCTTGCAAGGAAGACACTTTTGCTGTGGAAGAAACTGCTACTATTTTTCTGAAAAAGAAGAAACATGGGAGGAGAGCAGGAATTTATGCTGGAACATGGATTCTAGCCTTGTGAAGATTGATGACATCCAGGAACTGGTATGTTCACTTAATTAACCTTTATGAGAAGCTTGCAAAGACTGAGTTAGGCTACCTGTGTTGGCTTTCCTTGAGTCTTATTTGACTGCAAGGTGGAAACACTTGTGTTTGTAGAGGGGAAGACATGCTTTAAGGACCTAAATAATTTCACTTTCTAAAGCAGCAGAGGTGGCTTGTTGTGTGTGCCATGGAATTATATTGAGTCCTTACTACTTATGTTTTCATGATTTGTGAATGATTAAAAAAACCTAAATGAGTGAATTAGTTGGCACTTAATTTTAGTAATTCTTCAGAGCCCTAGAATAATAAAGTATATTTTAAACCTTCTTCTACAATATCTCTATGTATTTCATAGGTGTCAAAAGAGAAACCATTACAATTTTCTTTTTTAAAGAACTTAACTAAAGTGATGGGAATTTGGGTTGTTTCCACTGCTGTTGTGATGAGCAGCTCTTCCTTAACCATCCTTAGACACGTCAGCTGTGCACGCCTTTCATGTGTCTCCTCTGCAGTTCATCACAAACCTGTATGAGTGCAATTATTGGGTGTTTCCAGTTTTACAAAATAATGCCACAATATTTTTCAATTTGCTTTTTCTGCTAGTATGAAGATATTCTATTGTTTCCTACCATCCTAAAATCTTGTGTTTGCTCTCTGTAAAGCATTTCCTTGTAGCTTTGTTTGCCTTTACTTGATCTCCACTGAACTTGATATCCTTTATTGTTCATATATGTTTTCTATGAAACATCTACACTTGATTTTTCTTCATTTTTTTCTTTTGGATGATTTTGCTTTCTAATTGATTTATATGAACTAATGTTTTGTTCTTGGAACTACATTACTGTATGCATGTCCAGATTTGAAACTTCCCTTCCCATGTTCTTGAAGGTGTGTTTTGATGAAGAGAAGTTCTAAGTTGAATGAATCCATACTTACCAATCTCTTTTTTGGTATTATGCTTGGAGATTTTTGCGTCTTTCTATAGAGGTTCACCATGGTCCTTTCTTGATATCTTTCAATCCACAAAGATGCAGGAGATTCAGACTTTTAGATCTTTCACTTCCATGGCTTCTCTGCACAGTAGATGAACTAAGATTGTCTTAAGTGAAATGATTAGTATTTTGTACAAGTCCTTTGTAGATAAAAGGCAATTATTGATGTAATAAGTAATACTAGTAATTCTAACCTGTGCACAGAATTTCATTCAATCACACATCAAATACACTTACTGGATTGGATTATACCAAAAAGAAGATAAAAATGAGTGGAAGTGGCGGGACAACACGAAACTTGCTCAACAACTGTAAGTTTGCATTTCACATTCTATGAGGTGGGAAATCACATAGTGTACTAGAGGATCCTCAGTGCCATGGAGCACTATTCAGTCCCTGCTGGGTCAGGGAGTACAGTTCGTGTTGGGGGCAGTGGAAGGAAGAGGTTTTATGTTTTTAATGGGGGAGACACAGGTGATCTAATGTGATAATGGTGTTGGTATAATGATTTAAAGGAGGTGAATGAGAAAGCTAAGGGAGCTCTCTGATGGGGTAGCATCCTGGAAGGAAGACTAACTGGTATAGAGATGGGGGAGTGCATTTGGTTTTCTCGAGGAAACAGGAAGAGGATCTGTGATACTGGAGGAATCTGAGTAAGGAAGGAAAAGTAAGTCAGAGAGATGACATGGATGAGATCATCTAGGAATGAGAGACCACAGAAAGACTTTGATTTCTCTTTTTTTCTTTTGACATGTAGAGTTATAGATAGTGAGAGAGAGACAGAGAGAAAGGTCTTTCTTCCGTTGGTTCACAGCCCAAATGGCCGCTACGGGCAGCGCTGCGCCGATCTGAAGCCAGGAGCCAAGTGCTTTCTCCTGGTCTCCCATGTGGGTGCAGGGCCCAAGCACTTGGGCCATCCTCCACTGCCTTCCTGGGCCACAGCAGAGAGCAGGACTGGAAGAGGAGCAATTGGGACTAGAACCCGGTGCCCATGTGGGATGCCAGCGCCGCAGGTTGAAGATTAACCAATTGAGCTATGGCACTGGCCCTAATACTTTGACTTCTTAATGAGTGCAGTGATTCTCTTTTGGAGGGTTTTGAGCTGCGGGATGACAAGGACAACCTTCCTATTTTAAAAAGTCCCCTGGACATTGTGTGGTCCTTAGGTGGTGAATGGGAGATATGGATTGCAACTAAGAGAGTCACACTGAAAGTCAGTTGTCATCAACCAAGTGAGTGATGGTGGTGGTTTGGTCAAGAGAGGTAGGGAGGGTGCTGGGGAAACGGAACCAGATGCCAGACCTACTGTGAAAATGTGTGAGAGGAAGAGAATTCAGAGATGGCTGCCAGGTTTTAGTCCAGCAATGATGACAGTAGAGCTTTCATTAACTGCTACGAGGAGCATCCGGCATTCAGTAATAGTGACAAGTTTGATACATCCATTATACATTTTGATATCTGTGGGCATGTCACATAGACATGTTGTACATGATTGTAAACTTCATGTAAAAAATCTGTCCTAGGGATGTGTTTTTAATGTGTGTCAATGTATGCAGGGGTGTGGACACTATGAGATGATATTTTGAGTACTTTTTTATGCTTTATTTTATTAGAAAGTCAGAGTTGGAGAGAGATCCTCCAACTCCTGGTTGACTCCCTAAAAAGCCACAATAGCCAGGGATGTGCCAGGAGCTTCATCCAGGTGTCCCATGTGGGTGACGGGAGTCCCAGGACTTGGGCTCTCTTCTGTTAGTTTCCCAGCACATTCACAGGAGCTGAATTGGAGGTGGAGCAGGCATGAATTGAACAAGAGCTCATATGGGATGTTGACATCTCAAACAGCAGCTTAATTCACTGTGCCACAAGGCCAGCGCCTGTTGTGGGGATTTTGATTGCTGAGATATCCAGACCCTGATCCCCGGGACACCCAAACATTTAGCTATTGTGGTGATGAGGATGATTACAAAAGGGTCCTAAGAAAAGTAGTGAGATTGAAAGGAGGAAACCAGGAAAGAGCAGTGGGATACCTAAAAAAGGCACAACTAAAGCAATGTGCCAAAGTTAAATGGTTGGTGACTTCTGTCAATAATAATTTTGTGACTTGAAATTATTATTATCAGACTCATATATCTGGTGGGAAATTCAAATTATATACTTTTTCCATATATCATAGCAAGTCCTATAACTTAGAATCCATGTTGAATATTCTCATTGTCCAACATCACAAAATATCAACACTCTGTTTGGTGGACCAGACATGAGCTCAGAGGGAGTAAGGTCACCTTGTGTGTGAAATGCCAACCAGCTCCTCCTAGTGCTGAAGGTGAGGACGGGGTTGTGGCCTCCTGCTATCTGCACATCAATCTGAGTCACAGGACACTGGAGCTGTCATTGTATCTAATTATAATGTGTCACTAATAACCTTACCTTATTTAGTAACTCCGGTGAGTTGCTGAAGTCTCAGAACTTCCAGAGTGAGCCCATCTAAAGCCTACCCACTGTGTTCTGTGTACCTAGTCCTCATCTGCAGTCATTCACCAGCATGAACTGTCCCTTAGCTTTAGAAATACTTACACCTTCTGATTTGCCACCTGTACATCTGTCAGAGGGATTTTGTGTTCACTTAATAATCACACACACACACACACACACACATTTTTAAATTGTGACAATGAAATATTGCCCAAAGAATGATATTCTAAAATAAATATATTCTCTGACATAGGACTTTCCGTCAATCAAATAAAGTGGGTGAAAAATGTGGATGCCTGAAGCCACAATACATTAATAATGCTGATTGTTCAAGATCTTTTCCTTACATATGTGAGAAGAATAAGCCCTTCTTCAATAATTAGTACAACCTTTATGGAAAGCAGTATGGAGATTCCTCAAAGACTGAAAATATATCTACAACATGACTCAGCCATCCTTCCTCTAGGAATATATCCTGCAGTAACAAAGTCCACAAGGAAAGCGATTCCTGGACTCCCATGTTTACAGCAACCTAATGTTTAACAGCAAATATATGGAATAAACCTATATATCCATAAACTGATTACTGTATGAAGAATATGTGTGTGATGAAATATTACTTAGCCACTAAAAAGAATGAAATCCTAATGTTTGCAACAAAATGAATGCAACTATAGATCATTATGCTAAGTGGAATAAGCCAGACAAGGAAAGACAAATATCAAAAGTTCTCTCATATTTGGATAATAATATATAATGTATTAAAATGATATGAATTTCTTATTGTTTACTATATGCATAGGTAGAAGTGTTCTCTTCACTGAATTGTATCATATATATAACAATTCACCTTCCTTTCCTCACTTCATGATCATTGACATGAATTCCATGTGATATTAAAATCCCTGTTTTCAAGAAAAGAGTGAATGTATGTATATAATAGCTACATATGAAGTGAATATGACAAGATTTTAAAAATTGCTAAATCTTGAAATAAATTTTGCAAATAAAAAAATTCAACCAAAAATATATTTTATTTTTGAGTGGCACAAAGACAGTAATTATATCTATTTTGGGGGGAATAGTATGATATTTAATACATGTTTGCAATATGTAATGATCCACTAAGGGTAACTGGCATATCTATCAACTCAGGCACTTATTATTTCTTTATGTTGGGTACATTCAAATCTAGCTACCTGAAATATTCAATTGTTATAGGACATTCGAAGTTATTTCTCATAACCAGCTGCACCTCTGTACTAATAAACAATCTTCTCCCCATCACTCTCTCTGCTACCTGTTTTTCAGGCTCTGGTAACCACTATTCCAGTCAATGTTTAAGCTTCCATATAAAAGTGAAAATAGTTAGTACTTGTCTTTCTGTATGTTACTTCAATAAAAGTAGTGTATTCTCATTCTTTCCATGCTCCTGCAAATGACAGAATTCCATCCTATTTATGGATGAGTAATATTCCAAACAGCATTTTTATCCATTAGGGACACTTAAGTTGAGCTCATATTTTGATTGCTGTGATCATTCTGAATTAAACATGCAAGTGCAAGGATTCTTCAATATACTGCTGTCAATTCCTTTAGATAAATATGCAGATATGCAGAGCAGTTATAACAAAACAGCCTTGTACTTGGCAAAAAACAGATGGATAGACCAATGGAACATAATAGAAACTCCAGGAACCAGGCCACACATCTATAATCAGTTATCTTTGACAAGGAAGCTAAACTCAATTCCTGAAGCAAGGGCAATCTCTTCAACAAGTGATGATGCAAAAACTGGATCTTTGCATGCAGAATAAGAAACTAGACCCCTACTATACACCTTGCCAAAAATCCACTCAAAATGGGTCAAAGACCTATGTCCATGACCCAATATCATCACAGTACCACAGAACATTGGAGAAACCCTGCAAGATAGTGGCATAGGAAAGACTTATTTTAAAAGACCCCAGAAGTACAGCAATCAAAGCCAAAATTAACAAATGGGATTACACCAAATTGAGATGCTTCAGCACTGCAAAAGAAACGCTCAGCAAAGTGAAGAGGAGAAAATATTTGCAAACTATGCAAGTGATAAATGATTAATATCCAGGATATACAAGGAGCTCAAGAAACTCAACAACAACAGAACAAACAATCCAGTTAAGAAATGAGCAAAGGACTTGAACATTTTTCAAGAGGAAATTCAAACAGCTAACAGACCTGAAAAATGCTCAGGAACATTAGCCATCAAGGAAATGCAAATCAAAGCCACAATGAGGTTTCACTTCACCCCAGTTAGGATGGCTCTCATACAGAAATCAGTGAACAACAAATGGTGGTGAGGATGTGGGGAAAAAGTACCCTAATCCACTGTTGGTGGGAATGTAAACTGGTGTAGCCACTGTGGAAGACAGCATGGAGATACCTCAGAAATCTGAATGTAGATCTACCATATGATGCAGCCACCCCACTCCTTGGAATTTACCCGAAGGAAAAGAAATCAGCATATGAAAGTCATCTGAATCTCCATGTTCATTGTAGCTCAATTCACTATAGCCAAGATATGGAATCAATCCAGATGTCCATCAAATGAAGACTGGATAAAGAATTGTGATATAAATATATATATGTATATGTGTATATATTTTTATATATATATATACACTATGGAATACTACACAGCAGTAAGAAATGAAATCCTGTCATTTGCAATAAAATGGATGGAACTGGAAAACATTGTACTTAGTGAAATAAACCAATCCCCAAAAGATAAATACTGTCTGTTCTCCCTGATCTGTGCTATCTAATGCAGTACCTAAGAGCTAATCTATAGGAATGAAATTGACACTTTGAGATGTGATTTTTATCAACTCTTGTCTTTACTGTTGAGGAGCAATGTTTTTTTTTTTTTCTCCATACCCTTTGATGAACACTTTGCTTAGTGTAGGGTTATTATTATGAGTGTAATATAACAGATAATAGATATTTGTAAAAATTATGAATGGGAATAGGAGAGGGAGAAATAAGGGGGAGGCGAGAGTGTGGGCAAGAGAGAGGTTAGGGTGGAAAGTATCACTATGTTCCAGAATCTGTTTATATAAAATTTGTATACTTTAAATAAAATTTTAAGAAGAAAAACGAAAAAACTTCAGTGTCTAAAGATACTATTAAGAGAATGAAAGACTGGAAGGAATTATTTATACAACCTTTATTTAAGTAAGTACTGGCAGGCAGAATATATAAACAATTTTCATAACAATATTAAGAATATGAACAACCCAATAAAATGGTCAACAGATTTGAATACATATATATGAAGTAGTTATACAATTATACAGTTGAAACAATACACACAAAAAGTTTCCCAATATAATTTATTCATTAGGGAAATATAATTAAAATCACAAATAAAATTTCACAACACCCTTATTAAAATGACCGAAGAAACTGGCAATATTACATATCAGAAGGATGTAAACAAATGGAGCTTTCATGTATGCTGGAATGTAAAATGACAGGCACTCTGGAAAACACTTTGGAAGTTTTCTACTGATCAGGAAACTCAGATTCAAAAGTTTTCACTTGCCAGTGAACACACAACTATTAGGTATGGTGCAGTCCTCAAATTTAGAATGGATTCAGGATACTACTCTCTTCTCCTTCCAGATCCCATATTGTCTTTCTCCTAAGAGATAAAGATTCAAACAGAAATGCATACATGCTTCATACAAAATACTGTCCTTAATTACTACACTCCATTTACTCCCAGTCGAATTGCACAATAGTGCCTGAAATTTATGGAATTATCTACGAAAGTGTGTGAGTTGCAGGAAGAGTATTCCCAGCTCTGTTTCCTGACCCTCATCAGAGCCCTGAAACTGTTCTGATCCATCTTGTTTTCATAAGTGCTGTGATCATGAAGTCTTGAATTGAAAATGGTAGAATTCCAAAGTCTCTGGCATCTCATTTTAGTAGACCAATACTTGGACCTCATTTTAATCAGGCTAGAATATAGGTAGAGCTCTTTAAAAATGCAGATGCTCTGAAGTGAGAGAAGACTCCAGAGCTCCCAAGGGTTTGAATTTTTCCTAAGAAAAAATTATTATTTTTTGTTGGTGGTGTTCCCAGCATTAAGTTGAACGACATGTAATTTTCTTCTCACAGATAGAGTGCATGAGTCTGGCACAGTCAGAAGCAGTCATCTGTGATGCTGTTAGACTTCCACAGTTTCCACTCGACTCTTTCCAATCACTTAAAATAAAATAAGAACAAATAAATACTATGAGATATTAATGCAGACATAATCAGCTATACTGGTCCAAAGTGAAGGAGGCGTACCTTTTTGTCTTTACAGAGACTATCCCACAGGGCCCTAAGCTTCCCTAGAGAGAATCATGTGAGAAATATACACATAGACTTCACATTGAAAAACTCCTTCCCTTCTCCGTGAACTCATCTTCATCATTGAGCTTAGCTCCTCTGGAATGTGTGTGTGTGTGTGTGGCACACACATGTCTATGTGCCCATGCACTGGGTAAATGTGCCTGTATATGTGAATTAATACAGAGATGTATGTGTGCATTTTTTCTCTGTATAATTTTGGGGCTATAAACCAGAAGCAGTGATTACAGGGCTTGCAAGTTCTTCTCTATCCCAGAGACTTACATTTTGAGAAGGGGTACTGAGTTGTCCTCCCATGTCCAGGGACTGCTGGTTCCTTTACGGGACAACCCAATCCAAGAAAAATAAGATATTTGACTCCGAATGAAGTTCTGTGATAAATGAATCATTATCTATAATTAATAATATTTTAGATTCCTAAAATGAAGTAATAAACTTACTATTATTATATTAATTTTGTTGTTAATGTGAATATCAAATGGTATAAGGATCAACTTCACCCAGAATTTGTTTAATTAAAATAATGGAACCTCAGTTGCTAACACTTCATTAAAGGTAACAACCTAACTAAACCCTTACTGACAATTATTTTAAATAAGTTTATTTCAACTTAGAACTGAAATTTGTTAACTTCCCTTCAAAATTCAAATTTGTGATTCAAATATGAGTTCTGATCCAAGTCAGCTGTGAATTTCGAGTTCCAAGTGTGACAGCTCTAAGATTTGTAACAACACTGTCTTATATTTCTGTTCCAGAAGCCCTTTGTTTATTTCTTCTGAAAAGGACACCCTGAGTCTCTTTGTCATTAGGTGCAGTGTTTATAGGCCAACTAGAAAAGTAACTGCATAAAAGTAGCTAGGATTCCTTCAATGAAGGCATACAACACTTAAGGCTATGACATCACTAGGTAATATAACCTCGTGGGCTCAACATTGTAAATACTTTCCAACCCTGACCAAAAGTGTTGTTATGCAGCACATTGTGGTACTTTAGTTTTTATTTATCTGAAGTGTGGGGAGAGAGAAACAAAGAGAGTGCATCTATCCACCGGTTCACACTCAAACTGCCCCTGACAACCAGAGCTGGGCCACACCACAACCAGGAGTCCGGAATTCCATTCAGGCATTCCACATGGTGGCAGAGATCCAATCTGAAATCCATGTAGAGTTTTTTCTTCTACTTTAAGGCTCATTACTCACACTGATTCAGGTTGCTTTTCCTTATAGGTATAATGACTTTTGCCAAAGAGGCTAAAGCTAAATTTCCAATATGAGAAAACTCAGTATGAGATACAAATTTTTTCTTGATCAAGCATGATATATTTTAAGGACCATTTTTCCTAACTACTTCAGGTTTAATTTATATATACTTTGAAAATTCTAATTGTGGAAGAATTAAATGAATTACTAAAATTCTCATATCATATATTTGCATTTCTTATTTGCCATAAGAAC